ATTCATTTTGCAGAATTAGGCTCACTTTATTGAACCGAATAAGTATTCTATTCCATATTTTTGCCATGAAACCTGTTTCAAGTTTTTCTAGGCCAGCAATTAATCCATTTGCCTCTGATCTCATAGATTCAAGTTCATCATCATTAGCCACAAAGTCTTTCAGGTTTTCATATAGGCTTTTGTAGTTCAGGCACAATGCTTTTGTAGCCTCAGCATGGCAAGACCATCGCGAAGTTGACAAGCGTTTTAAAGTTAAAATCTTGTTGTTTTCATTTGGAGTGAAACCCTTTGTCAAGATAGCCCAACGATGTGTTGGTCCTGCTCAGAAAGCTTAACGTTTGTTCAGCAAACCAAAAAATTTTATGGCTTCCAAACAACAACTAACACTATGTACTCCTACCAGGTTCAGTGATTGGACAACACAAGGTAAATAATCAATGAGATTATTTACATCTTTGATTTTTCTTTGGAGACCTTCATATTTCCCAGATATATTGGCAGCATTATCATACGATTGTCCACGACAATTTTGAATATCTATGTCCAATTCATTCAATGTGTCCAGAACCATATCACACACATTTTCTCCTGTGTGACTACCGATGGGAAGGTAAAGCAAAAAATGATCCACTGGTTCACCAAACGAAGAAACATACCGAATAGTGAATGCAAGTTGGTCAGTTCTTGAAGTATCGGGTGTAGAATCTAAGCATAAAGAGTAGTATTTTGCACTCTGAATCTTTTTGGAAACAGTTGACAAAACCGTTTTTCCCATTACCAAAATGAGTTCATTACAAATGGTGGAGCTCAAGTAACTTGGATTTCCTTTGCTTTTATTTCCAAACTGTGAAATGTGATCAGCCAGAAATGGATCAAACTTGCTTATTAGTTCAAGATCCTCTAAATGCTAATCCACGCTCACTCAAAAACTTTATTACTTCTACCAAACGGAAAGATAATGAATGCCAATATTTCCTCTAATTTTCAGTTTGATGACAGAGTCCACTGCCAATACAATTACCAATTTTTTATCGCTGTACATAGGCTAGAGTTGTTTTTCTGTGGTCCACTGAACATTCGATTTACCCAAGTGCTCTAGTGGTGTGTGTACCCAGTCATTGAAACCATGCACAAATGGTGAACTTGTAGATGTACTAGAGAAGAGCAAACATGTGAAACAGCATAGTTTACCTTGTGATTTAGAGAAGAGTAACCATTCTCTCTTTACTGATTCGCCATTACTCATAAGTTCTGAAGAATGCAGACTTAGGGAGGAAATGGCATTTCTGATGCTCACCTGAACCATACACTCTTAATGTTCCTTTAAACACAGTGATGATGCTGACAAGCATCTGGCCCATCCTTTGACCAGTAAATTTGAAGTTCCTGTGATAATGGTCTTTTCCATTTCCCAGGATCAGTTTCAGTGTACTGAATATCTTGCCATTTAATTTCATCACCTTTCTTTAATTGGTCAGTTGTATGTGTAGCAGCTGAGGTACTACAGCCAGGTAAGTTTTCTTCGTTTTGTTGGTCAGTTGTAGGTGTAACATCAGCAGACAAGGTACTACAGCCAGGTAAGTCCTCTTCCTTCAGTTGGTCAGGTGTAGGTGCAACATCAGCAGACGAGGTACTACAGTGTGGCAAGTCTTTTTTTCTCACTGGCTTATATTTAATAAAACAAGTAACTTTTCTTATTTTAAGTTCAGCAGAATACTGTTGCTGTTTTTGTTTTCTGGCTTTGTGCTTCGCAGCTCCATTTAAACCTTTGCCACTCATTATTTTAATAACTGAAACTGAAAGCCTGAAATGCAGAATAAAATATGATAAATATCATAAATTCACAAATTTCATGCATAGGTAGACTGGTAGATATTTGCAGTTCCCCAAATTCACATTATACCATAACTCTAAAGCATAGAGCCATATTCATCCAATGCACAGTAAACTTCATAAAGACATAAAATTCAATGATAAATATGAATCAATGAGTGTCACGCCGAGCAGCTCTCACACAACACACCCAAGCAGGTACGTGGCGATCGAACGTGAACACAACGAGACTGAACGAGTGACAGATGACTCGGCGTATTTCTGCTCCGGGGTTGGGGGTGGGGAGGGGTGTGTGCACTAGCATTCATATTTAGATGAAAAGATAGTGCAAACTGAGAAATACCAGCATATATATTTATTAGTACTACTACTAATATAAATAATATAATGTGTCCTTATACAATACAGTACTGCAAACATTTACTGTTTATGCTGCAATGTAATGGGCTCCAAATTCTACATTATTATTACAGTGGTCCCTCGGTTAACGAACACAATTCGTTCCAGAAGGTTGTTCGTTAACCAAAAATTTCATTAACCGAAGCCATTGTTTCAATGGGTTTTTGGGTAATTGGTTCCAGCTCACCGAAAATTACCTAAAGTAAAAAAAAAAATGCAGGAAAGTACACTTACTTTGAGGTGTGTATGTAGAAGGCTCCTGGATGATGATGCTGATGTGAATTTGAAGTGGGAGGTGGAGAAGGGAGAAGAAGAGGAAATGGAGGTGGAAGAGAAGCATTTTACTGCTTCTTGGAAGGTGAGTCACCTTCCATGAAAATGTCAGGAACCTCTGGACTGACAGATTCTCCATCCTCTCTCCTTCTTGATGTGGAAGGCTGAGGGGTAGCATCTTTTTCCCGATGCCTTTTAGTGAAGAAACTGTCAATTTTTGGTTGTGGGGCATTTCTTCTCCTCATCATTAACTGATTTTTGAAGGAGGAGACCACTCTGTCCTCAACTTTACACAAAATAGGTTCTGTAGTTTCCACATCTGGGTGCTTTGAAGCCAGTTTCCTGAACTTATCCCAGTAGTGAACAACATCTTTCAAATGTGAAGTTGACATATGGTCATCACTTTCCCTTTCCTCCTCACCACTGTCAGCCTCTAACATCTCATCCAGTTGCTGCATGTCATCAGGAGTAAGTTCCTGCTCATGAGACATCACAAGCTCTTCTACATCATCTTCCTCCACTTCGAGGCCCAATGACTGACCAATGGACACAATTTCCTTGTCCAACTCTGCTTCTTCCTCAAATCCCTCAAAATCATGGACTGCTGATGGCCACAGTGTTTTCCATGCAGAATTGATGGATCTAATGGAGACTTCTCGCCATGATGACACAATCAATTTTACAGCCTCCAGGATGTTGAATTGTGTCTTCCAGAACTGTGCCAGTGTTAGTTGAGGATCAGTGGAAGTTGCCTGATAACACCTCCTGAACATTTTCTTCATGTACAACTTCTTGAAGTTGCTGATCACATTTTGGTCCATTGGCTGCATGATTGATGTAGTGTTGGGAGGCAAAAACAACACTTTGACAAAGTCGTCAAATTGAGCCTCCAATGTGCTGGCAAGTTCAGGGTCATGATCAGGGGCATTATCCATAAGGAGAAGAGCCTTTAAAGGGAGTTTATTGGTGGTTTGGTAGCTCTTCACAGAAGGGCAAAACACCTCAACAGCCCATTCATTAAAGAGCTGTCTTGTCACCCATGCCTTACGGTTGGACTTCCAATAAACTCCAAGCTTTCCTCTTTCCACTTTTTGTTGCTTGAACACCCTAGGGTTCTCAGAGTGGTAAACAAGTAAAGGCTTCCATCAGAAATCCCCTGAAGCATTGGCACCAAGCAATAGAGTGAGATGGTCTTTCATGGGTTTATGCCCAGGTAAAGAGGCTTCATCTCTGGTGATGAATGTCCTTTTGGGCATTTTCTTCCAGAACAGCCCTGTTTCGTCCACATTGAACACTTGCTGTGGAAGATAATTTTCTTCATCCACCAGTTTCTTAAACTTCACTACAAACTTTGCTGCTCCTTCTTTATCTGCACTGGCAGCCTTACCATGCATAATAACACTGAAAATGTCACTTCTTTTCTTAATTTTTCAAACCAGCCCTTGCTTGCCCGAAAATCTTCGAACTCTGTGCCAGAAGTACCAGGTTGATCTTCCTTTAAATGTTCGTAAATCTCCCTGGCTCTTTCACAAATAAATTCTGTAGAAACTGAATCACCTTTCATTTGTTTTTCCCTGATCCAAATGAGAATTAACCTCTCTGTTTCTGATATCATTGATCTACCTTTAAACAGTCTGGTAGATTTGTCTCTCACTTTCACTTCCTTGAACTTGTCTTTCTGTGCAAAAATTGTCGACACAGTTGATGCCGACATCCCATAGTCTTTACTAAGCACATTTGTTCTAATGCCCTGTTCATGTTTCTTTATTATTTCCTGTTTTACCTGGATTGAAATAACTTTTCTCGATTTCTTTAGAGCCATGCTGGATTTGATTTCAACACTGAAATTTTAAGTTTTATTGCTGTAAATAAAGAATATTTTCTTCAAATCAACGCTGCACTGCGCTATATATTATCAATATGTAAAATATATTTCAAAATGACCAATAATTTGACTGTAAAAATGGAAAAATAGTTAATGTTCAAGAGAGTTTCAAACAAGATGTTCCCTCCACTGAACAGATACATACACTGACGCCAAGCTTGGTGTGTTCAGTGGCTGTTTGACGTGGAAAAAACTAGTTTCCTGTAATTCAATTATGTTCAATGATTATTAAAGTGACTAAAAATTTTTATATAATTTTTTTTAAATTATTGATATTTACTCAAATGGTACGAATTTTAGCCCTAGAACTGATTACTGTATTGGCGGACTAATACTACAGCTGGTAAGCAAGCGAAAACATGTTGGGAAAAATTAGTAAGGAAGTCGTTAACCGAATTGAATATTCTTATGGAAGGTAATCCGTTAACCGAAATTTCATTAACCAAGGGGTTCGTTAACCGAGGGATCACTGTATTACTATTATTATTATAACAAATATTTGCAAGCTCAAGGGCCCCCCTGGACCCAGGGCCCCTGGCCCGGGCTCCTTGGGCACTGTTGTTAATGTGACCCTGTATCATGCTCACCTCTTCGTGTAATTTAACGAAAAATGTTTCTGGTACAGTAAAATGAGCTAGTCTTATGTTATTTCTGTTCTAATGAAAGTTAAAAAAAAAATGGCTTGGTTGATTTTTTCGGAGGAATGTTGGGAATTACATTTTAACAAATACCCCAACACCTTCACAGTTACAGTTGCATATACTGTACAAAACATTTTATCTGGCCTTACCAAAACTTATTATATAGTATATTACCTTGATCCATACTTCGAATACATGTCCAGTAATATTTACACCCGGTAAGTATGTCACCCTTGGTGACACTAATGCATTTAGTATTTCTCTTGAGTTATTGAGACCATTGATTTACTAATTACTGTACTTGGTAAAAGATGAAAATTTCATTAGTGGGAAGGATTGTGGAAGCAGTTGCATAATTACTTGCAAGAGATGTGAAACATTTCTTTCCTTGTTTTAACACTGATTTTTATTTTGTTTCTTCAGCTTGCCCTAGAGGAGGAAGATGTATGGCGTGGTGTATTGAATTGGGCCAAATATGGAGCAGGTGTTGCACAGCCCACCCCACATTGGACTGAGGAAGAAAGGTTGCGTGTATGTCAGCAGTTACAGGGAGTTATCAATCATGTGCGACTTTTGCTTATTGGTAAGTTAGAGACAGTAAGGAATCAAGCCCGTCTCTGTTGACGAAGTAAAGACTTCTCTACTGTTTGGGCTGAATGTGTGGCCTGCAGGAATACCAGGATATTATTTCTTAAGCGATTGTAATTGATATTTTCACCACATTTTAATCAATAACAATAATAATGAAACTGTAATAGCTTACATGATGTACAGTCAACAGCAGAAGTTTATCCCAACTCAGTAGTAAGATATGAGGTCGGTGATCTGGTAACACTGTTGTTGATTGTACAGCCATGGTCAAAAGTAATCATCCATTTCACCACCTAATCCCTGTACCTGGCTAGTTCCTTTCTGTACGGTAAGTCACATGGAGCGGACCTGATTTTATGATTATTATAATGTACCATCCATTTCCTTTTTAATAATTTTATTTTCAGGTTGTTGTTTCAGGTTTTAAACAATGGTAATTAGATATATGTAATAATGTTGATATGAAGAGAAATATTGAATACGGTGGAAGTCACATTTATTTTTAATATTTACCAACACAGGTCATACAGAATCTCAATAACCCATCCACTGCCTTGCTCTCTTATTAATTGTGGTCTTCCCGGCCTAAAATTATATAATTTATATGAATAAGAGTTCAAATATATTTTGCTTACATTACACATCCAAAATAAGTCATTTTAATATATCAAATGCTAGCTGGTTTCCCAAGTTCCCAGACTCCTCCCAGCAGGTTAACCAATGTCTCACAGTGACCTCAACCTCCCTTTTAATTTCTGACACATTGTAGCCAACCGTGCACAAACCGATAATTTGCCAGCGAATCGCCAGTCGACATTCTTTAGCGTCCATCCTGTGCTGAGTATGGAGCAGTGGCCAAATACCATTCCCAGTACCACCTCATCACCTTACATTGATTTTCACAACTCTAATAAACATAGTACAGGGTGGATAAGTCACATTCTATCCAACAATTCATTATTCATTTTTTTTTATCACTTAGTAGTGATATTTTTCAAGAACTGTAATGGTGAGAGGTGGAAGTGATGAAGTAATAATTTAGTCTTAATTTTTTCAATTGATATTGATAGTTCGAAGTGATCAAGTAACAGCCTAGTTTAGTGTTACTGGTGGTGAGCAAGCCATGCCACCCCCCCCTCTTATGTTGTCATATCAGGGGCCTTCCCTCACGGAAGCCAGACACCTTATCAACCCCTGTGACACATTACCTGCAAAAAGCTCACTCACATTCATCCCCGGAATCTCAAGTAAGGGCATAGATAACTACGAGAAAAGTTAATTCCATTTGACACCTCCCCGGACACCTGCCCTCCTGGTTGGTTGGTTGTTTGGGCCTTTGGCCTATCAACTGCCAGGGTCATTAAGGCCGTGAATGTCAAGCTACATCCACCAACCTTGACACCTTCTTCAGGTGTTAAGGATAATTCTAAGACTACATACGCACTCACTACATATATGGCCCTTTTTGTGTGCCCTCCTACCATACCTGAGTCCACCACCCCTAGCTCTGCCCCCATCAATACCTCCCCCCCCCATCAATACCTCCCCCACCTTATTGTAACCTGTCATGTAGAAAGGCCTTAAGCTAGCGGGTATGGTAGTAGGAGCGGTGGAATGTTCTTAATCTCCATTTCACTGTTGTTTGTCAGCTGTTGTTCCTTCACCATGTTTGTATCTTTTAATTATGTAAAATTTCATCTCTAGTATGACACAATTTTAGTGTGTGATTTGGGGCATCTCTCTTCTTTTACATGGTTTTCAAAGGAGGTTTTGGATTCTTTTAGCATGACTTTGCACAGTATGATACTTTTTAGGAACAACTTTTGTGTTAAGTGGAGACTACCTGTATAAGTTTAAAAATATGTGTGGGGTGTAGATAGCATAGCTACAAGTACAGGTCGACAATCCCTTATCTGAAACATTTTGGGCCAGATGTATTTCAGAATTTTTGGGATTTCAGAGCGGTAGTACGGTATATATAAAGTACATTATGGTAACACCCTACCAGGTTCTGTGGCGGCACCCCGTAAGCAAACACATAAATATTTCTGCAACGAATCTAATGAATATGAATTAAAAAGTACTTTCAAAGTACTGTATACCAGTAATAGAATAAACAAAACATTAAATATAAACAAAATACAGTACAGTTGGGTCTTCATTTACGCGGTCAATTGAACCCACGTTGTACCGCGTAAAACGAGAAACGCGTAAATGAAATTACAGAACACATGGGATTAATTGAAATAGAGACTGGGCCCTCCCCCAAACTCCACTTTTTCCGACACAATACCTACGTTATAGTAAAAATAACATCTTAATTTTATGATGGTATGCACACACATACAGTTTTACCCCGCTTAACGCGCTTTCACTTAACGCGTTTTCGCATATACGCGGTGCCTTGCCAAAGCTGAACTTTCACTTAACGCGGGTTTTTTCCACATATACGCGGTGAGTGTCCGAGACGCTATTTTTAGATTTGCCCCACCCGCCACCCTGCCTGACTGCCTGTTTTAGCTCATAAAATTCATACAAATTACCAGGCCAGAATATAATTTACATTGCTGGAATTCTTATAATTTGGTGATCATTTTGAATATAAACATCATATATTTTGCTTTAAACTTACAATTTTTAGATAAAATTTTTTCTCTAGGTAACTATGGTATCTTTTGTCCAAAATATATGACATTTATATTCAAAATATTCCTGGTCTTACAAGGAATCCAGCAATGTCAATTATATTATCCTAACTTTAGTTTGAGGTATTATTTATTAAAATTTAGTGGTTATCCCACACATCTCCTTGGGACGGTTGGTGGGGGGTGGGGGGGAGGGAGGGACCAACTGACCATCTGTTACGGTGTGAAGAATTATTATCTTTGTTTATTAACTGAAGATATTTGTTTTAGCTCATAAAATTCATACAAATTACCCGGTCAGAATATAATTTACATTGCTGGAATTCTTATAATTTGGTGATCATTTTGAATATAAACATCATATATTTTGCTTTAAACTTACAATTTTTAGATAAAAATTTTTCTCTAGGTAACTATGGTATCTTTTGTCCAAAATATATGACATTTATATTCAAAATATTCCTGGTCTTACAAGGAATCCAGCAATGTCAATTATATTATCCTAACTTTAATCTGAGGTATTATTTAATACTAAATGTTAAAAACTCTGGAAGGGAGGATTGGTGGGGGGTGGGGGGGAGGGTTGGGACTGACCGCGCGGTTGGAAGAGGGGGGGAGGCAAGGTGGGGTACTTTGATTGACAGATAGTGTCGTGAAGATTATTTTTTTTTTATTAACTGAAGATATTTGTTTTAGCTCATAAAATTCATACAAATTACCCGGTCAGAATATAATTTACATTGCTGGAATTCTTATAATTTGGTGATCATTTTGAATATAAACATCATATATTTTGCTTTAAACTTACAATTTTTAGATAAAATTTTTTCTCTAGGTAACTATGTTATCTTTTGTCCAAAATATATGACATTTATATTCAAAATATTCCTGGTCTTACAAGGAATCCAGCAATGTCAATTATATTTTCCTAACTTTAGTTTGAGGTTATCCCACACATCTCCTTGGGACGGTTGGTGGGGGGTGGGGGGGGGAGGGAGGGACCGACCGACCATCTGTTAGCCGGCTGTGTAGTGTGAGAGGGGGAGGGAGTTGAGTCCATTATTTGAATGGACATTAACTTGGCGACTGTATTTCTCTATTTCTCTTAAGTATTAATTGTGTGCATGTACCATCATAAAATTAAGATGTTATTTTTACTACAACATAGGTATGTGCCTTCAAAAAGTGGAGTTTGGGGGTCGGGCCGGTTTCTATTGGAATTAATCCCATATGTTCTGTTGTTCACTTAACGCGGATTTCACTTAACGCGGGACCCTCTGGGTTCAATTGACCGCGTTAAGTGGGGTACAACTGTAATATAGAAGAGAAATATCAATAAGAGAATAAAATACTGTACCAGGTAAAAGAAAATTCAAGGTTTAACACGTATATCAGGTTAGGTTAGGTTAGAAAAAATCAAGGTTTAACACTTATGTAAGGTTAGAAAAAATCAAGGTTTAACACTTATGTTAGGTTAGAAAGAATCAAGGTTAGGTTTAACACTTACGTTAGTAGAAGAGATGGGTCGGCGTACGGGAATGGCGGCTGGTTCCGAGGCACAGGGCAGACTACTGGCCCTCAGGTGAGTCACCATCACTGTCCTCCACATTTGTCAGGGCCTCCCTGACAAATCCCTCAAAGTCACCATCACTGTCTCTGTCACTATCACTGGCTTGGGCTGGCTGTGGTGAGTTGCGAGCGAAGAACTCGGTAATGCTTTGTTGACAGCTAGTGTTGATGTTGTCGTGATACACCTTGATGTACGGCTCCATAGTCTGCAACAGCTGGGTAGTGAAGACTTCATACCGGTTATCGTCAAGGTCATCGGAAAGGAGGAGCTTCAGTTTCTTTGCACCTTCGATGGCACCCCTAATATTACCATGCGTTAACTTGTGTTCTTCTGGGGATGACGCACCACCTGCCTCTTCACTGACATGATCGTCTTCTAACATCTTGTCGGCAGTCACCTCAGGATCCCTGATCACCTCCAGGGTGTCTTCGTTGGTGGTCTCGGAGAAGCCTGCAGCTGTAACACTCTGTGCAGCTTCTCTTGCAAGGTCCACTGCCACTGCAACAGACTGAACCTCACCAGTCACAGGTTGACTCTGCCTCCCACCTGGGATACCTTGCAACACATGCCTCCATGCGTGACGAACCGTTGCTACAGACAGCTGATCCCTTGCCTCCACCAAGAAGTCCACAGCTTTCTTGACTTTAAATTTCTACCAAAAGTGTTTCACGAGAACTTCTTGATCCGCCAACTGTTGTTCCTCGTCGCCCTTGCTGTCGGTGTCACCCAGGTTACGCAACTCATCCTTGGTGTTGGTACAGTCGTTCAGGAGCTTAA